AGAAGTACCTGCCACTCCAAAGGTTCCATTCCTTTGTTTCAGGTGGGCTGGAAGCTAATCAAGGATTCCTGTTCTGAGATTTCTGTGTGCAGGAAGGCTGACAGAGCAGCAGCTGGCTGAGCTGGGGACACCACTGACCTGCTCATCTCTACTGGTCTCAGAAATCTACCCTTATTCTCTGTCCACAGGGCTGGGTTGGGCTGCAGGAGGACCAGATGACCTGAGGGTCCTTCCAACTTACATTATTCACTGATTCCATGTAATGAGCTGGAATCCTTCCAAAACCTGAATGGGAAAGGTGTGGGCAGGCTTCTGTTGGAATCTCAAACCCCTAATGAAAGCTACACAGAAGTCCTGGGAAGCCACCCACCCCTCCAGGTCCTCTTAGACTGCCAGAGCTCAGGGACCTGTTGCTGCCTGTTGAGGCTCCTGAGATGTGCAGATGTGTAAATTATGGAACTATGTTAGAGCTGTTTTGTCTGAAACCTGGATTTTAGGGCTGAGATCTTAGATGAGGCTAGAGGTCCTTGGAGGGATGGGATCCAGAGAATTCCCCTTTGCACCCTTTTGGATTGAGCTGTGTAGACACAGGCACTAGAGGAGGCTCCTGGTCCTTGTGGCAGAGCTGCAGCTTCTTTAGGAGGTGGCAGATCCCAGTGTCCATAAAATGGGATGAGAAAATGCAGCATTTGTAGGCAGAACTAGTAATGTTATTTCATAGCCCATAACTAGAGAGATGTCCCTTTTTTCCTTCTCTTTTCCAAGCCATATTACCTCCAGCACATCCTGCTGTGCCTTGCCTGTGCAGGTGTTGAGGACAAAACCCCCCCCGAGACACAGAGTGGTCACAGACACCAGAGCTGTGCTCCACAGGAGTCCTGTCACTAACAGCCTCCTTAAATAATCCTGTCCAAGTCCACCTTAAATATGCCCTCCCTCCCTGCAGTTTTCCTTCGGGATAATTAAGCACTCAGTAAGTTAAGAAGTGGAAAAACTTGAGGAAGCATATGTTTCACAGGTGGGCACAGTTGTTTCCTCCCAGGGCTTGTTCTGCAGTTCTGTGCAAGCCCGTGCCTTGGCACAAATGCTTCTCCATGATGGTGACTCACACTTGTATCTAAACATCCAAATTTTGCAGTTGTTAAGGGTCTCAGGGGATCACCTGCTCTCACACCGCAGTCTTGTTGCACGGATATCCTTGGAAGTGCTGAGTTTCTCATTGCTCACCTGTTCTGAAACAAGGTTCCCATGCTTTGATAGCTAGGGTTTGGTGTCTTTCCCCTGGATGCTCTGGGCTGTAACTCTGGTACTGCAGACCTGAGATTTGCATCCTGCCAAGATCAGGCTTCAGGGTGGCATTTATTTTTTTCCTAGAAGAGAACACGTGCTTTTGCTGGCCAGCTCTCTCAGAGCACCATTTCTTTCTGAAGTTACCATGTTAAGATTGTTTTTATATATATACATTATATTTACAATGACATCAGCAGCCACCTCACCATCCCAAGTGTCATATCCCTTGATAAACTTCAATGTCACAATAAATCCTCAAATACAACTGTTCCTCCCAGAACTAACATAACTGTGGATTTCACAAGTCAACTCCACAACCACGGACAAAATTTGCCCCCTGTCAGACATCCCCTATGCTGTGGGCACAGCAGTGTGGTCTCATACTGAGTATCTGGCAAGCCAGGCAGAGGGAATCCCAGCTCTGCTGGAGCCAGCACGTGTTTCCCTGCAGTCAGCATCTTATCCCAGGGCTGTGCTGGAGTGAGGAGGGGGTTGTTTTCCTGCCCTTTCCATCCTTAGGGAAGGGAAGCCTTTGCACCCAGTTAGACTCTTGGAGTGAGACCAGGTGAAGCATTGAGTCTTTGCTGAGCTCTGGTGCTGCATTTCTGTGACACATTCTTTTGACAATTTACAGCCACTAACATAGCGCAACAGCTGATGCACTTGGACAACAGAGCCTCAGAAGGCTGTTCAGGAGCTCCAGCTCTTCTCCACTTATTAAAGGGAGCCTAGAGAGATTAGGCTACAAATGGAGATGCCTTAATTAATTGTCTATCAATTAGACAACATGAATCTGACCCTTAAATGTCCCTCTAGACACACTGAATTAGCGCTGAGCTTGAACTCAAACTAAGGTCTGGAAGAGCCCTTCTCGGGTGTTAATTCTCTGAGAACCATGTTGAGCCCCCAAAATATCCAGGGCTGTTTATTTGTCTTACCCCGAGACACATGGACCAGCTGAACTCCTTTCCAGCCTTGCAGCAAACACAGAGCCTTGAGAGACATTGGTGGGTTTTGTTCTGTTATGAGTAATAAGGTTTCTTACGAGTTTCTTACTTATGAGTAGTAAGGTTTCTCCACAGATGGAGAAACCACCGGTGACACTTGAGTCCTGAAGCCCTGTACCAGCAGGGGAGAAGTGAAAGGACCCAGCCCACTTAAGAATTGCATTGTATCCTCAGACTGGAACAAAAAGCAGGGAAAGGACTCCTTCACGGCTCTGAATCTGGCATGTGACTAGCCTGAGTGTGGGAGCAGGATGCATCAATCAGGCAGCAGTGGTTGGGTAATGACCAAGGAAATGGAACCCCTGTGTTTCCAACCACTGAGCTGGATGGATCTCACCATCTCTGCTGGGCCAAGTTCATGTTTGGTGTCATCAGGTTAAAAGAGTTTGATATCATCAGGTTGAAGGAGTCCCAAATGGGAATGAGGGCCTGTCATCCACTCCAGAGGTAACTTTTGCCAGGACTGCCAAGCTGTGAGAACACAAACCTGCTGCGACACTCCAGAGGCCACCAGCGTGTTCTGGGAGGGACCAAGCAGGTTTGAGACGGGACAATTCTGAAGTCACTGAGGACTGTGTGAGCACAATTCTCTGCACTATGCTGCTTGTAGCAGCTTTTAATTTGGCTTCTACAGGCAGAGGGCCATGGGGAGAGACCCTACTGAGCCAAAAAACTGTGTGTGTGCTTGCCTTCATTTTATTCTTTGGCCTGACGTGATTTTTAGCAATTATTTAAATGTCTGCTTTTCAAATAACTATAAATCCAGAGAAGCTGCTGGTTGGGCATGGTGAAGAATATAACAAGGTGTATTAAACACACACTATGCTTTGCTTGGGGGAGATTTTAAGCAGGGTTGACATCTTTATCCCTTCACTTGAGGAAGCTCAGGTAAAAGGAAGAGATAAAAATCGGTGCTAACTTGGGTGTTTCTTGCCTTTGATCATTCTGAGTCACTCAACAATCATGTTCTTTTATCTCTTGGCATGTCCAATAGGGTTAGCAGCTCAGTTCTAGAATGAGGGGTAGAATGGTTGTCCCAGCGCCCTATGAAAATCTTGGACCACGGATAGAGTGAGCTCCCAAAACCAAGGGATATCCAGCTTCTTCACATCCTGCTCCTATAATCTAAGAGGTGACTTGAAGGATGAATAGGACTCAACTTGGTATGTTTTACTGCCCTGATGTTACGTGTCAGTCGTGGGTGGGGAGACAGAAATCCACGACTCGAGTCCTCTTGCTCATCAGACAAACAACCTCATTTATTGTTCAGAACTCACTTATATAGTCCATTCAAAACTCCTGGGTCTAGAGAATTCATTGGCTGAGGTTTCAGCACTGCCCAGCTCCTTGACCAGTGATATGTCTGCTTTCTAGATGGAACATGACTGGCTGAGGTCCCTGCTTGGGTCTGAATCCAACTCATCCCTGCCCCATACAGAGACTTGTTTTACTCCTAGGCTGGTTGAGTTTGGAAATCTGATATGGCCTGATATCAATTCTGATACTAATTGATTGATTCCCAGCTAAACTTCCCTACCTTGGAGGCAAGAAGGAAGGAGACTGAATTTAAATATCCCACTACACAACTCCTGTGTGTTTTTTCATCTTCTGTCTCGTTTCCCAGCACTCAGATGGGACGAGGATATGCTGGGGCTGCATTGCCCGGTGCCTGTATTGTATTGCTTTGTATTGGCCCAAAGAAGGTACCATCCCTTGCACCACTTCTCGCCGGGAAAGCTCCCTGACCCTAAGGAACAGCTCGACCTTTCTCAAGTCATTCCGTACAAACAGAAGCTCCTGCCCAGAGCCCAACTGCTCTGTCCCACCCTGGCCAGTGAGGACTGAGTGCCCTCTGCTGCACTCCTCCTCCTTCCATGGCAGCGCTTCACTTGCTCTTCGGGAATAAACAAAACGACTCTTTAACACACAAAACAACTCTTTCATGTTCTAAAGGTCTGCCATGCTGGCTGTGCACAAGCCTGGTGCTGTATTTCAGCAGCAAATGGAAAGGATCATAACCTGAGATAAAGATGTGTGAGATCCTGCATCCATCCGAAAGCACTTGGGGGAACTGATGTCCTTTATGAAAAACCTTCATCCAGGAGCTTTTCATTGCCTTGTAAAATAAGCAGCTCCTTATGCAGGATTTCTAATAATGAAACTTTCATTCCCCAGAGCTGACAGATTATGCACAGCCAGATGTGGTACCTGACAGCACCGAACTATACATCCCTCCCTCCTCCTCAGACTCTGAACACCACAAATCTCTGTTTAATCACTTCTCAGCTCTTGCAGCCAAAAAGGACCTGTTGTAAGTAGGGAAAGGTAGAGAAAGGTCTGTGTCAGGAAAGATGTGCCAGGCTTCATATTTGGAGGTAGAAGGAGGAACATTTAAAAAATAATAATCCTGCTTTTACCGGGGTTTGATTTTTCCCACCTGGAAAGTAACCAAGCTGCAGGCAGCGGTGGCAGCCCCATACCGCCAGAGCCGCAGGAATCCACTCGTGTTCCCTGGAATTTGGGCATTTTTTGTTGCACCCTTTTGGGCTCGGTTCCAGCCTGTCACTCAGCGCGGGGCCCGCCCCTTCCAGAGGATATTTAGAGAGAAGCTGATGCACAACTTGTTCCAAAGAGACGGGAGACTCCGAAGGAGTGGTGGAGAGTCGCTGGCAGCCTGGATCCCCGCTCTTGCCAGTACTCGGGATGCCTGGCGAGTCAGGGACAGTGACCCGGACCCTGTTCCTGCTCCTCCTCGCCCCTGGCTGGGTACGTACGGCCCTGCAGCAGCTCTGCCTGCCGCTGCAGCTTCTTGCTTCGATGCGTGCGAAGGCTTCGGGCTAAGGGACTCTTCCCTGCTGCCTCCTGCTCCCGAGCGTCCGAGGGAGGTTGGGCTGGGAGCAGAGAGATGCGAACGTGCTGGGTAACTAAACCGCGCTGGGGTCTGTAACATGTGTCGTGCTCGGGTCTCGGCTCCTCGCACGTGGGAATGGACTTTGTTTCCTGCCACTCCTGGAAGCCAGAAATCGGCCCTGGTCTAGAGGTGGGAGAAGAGAGCAGAGAGAGGGGAAGTCAGTCATTTATTTATGTCATTATGTCATTGCAAAGAGTAACAGTCTCATATCCCAATTCTTTACCATCACCATCCTTCCCCAGCTGTCACTGAATCCACCCGTGTGCTCCCAAAAGCAGTGATCCTGAGGGGAAAATTAGACTGCAGCCTCTCCAGAGCAGGATTCGTGCCTCTTTTCCTGTTAATACAAGTTCTTGACAGAGCAGCTGATTCTTCTTCGGACATTTGTGTGCTGCTCTTATGCCAGCAGTATCAGGCACATCACTGCCATCATTAAATTGCTGTAAGTGCTTTTTGGCTCAGTGAAATTTGGTTTATGGTGCCCCTTGCAGGGCTTGTTCTGGTGAGGAAGGCAATCAGCTCCTGGTTGGTGAGGTTTGTTGGATTGCTCCTGGCAGTACGTAGTGTGTGCCAGCCCCTTTCATGCCAAGAACATGAACTGAGCTGCAGTCTAAGGGAATCTGCTGCCATTTGGGGTGAGTGTCTTGATTCTTGCTGTGGTTCAGCTTTGGCAGCATCATGTGGCTCATATAAACAATAGCAAGCAATCCCACCACTGCGACCCTTGGTTACCACTCTGAGACCGGTGATTTTCCCTAAACATGCCAAATGCCTTAGAAATGTGACTTTTGACTTTCTTTAAGCATTAGGTTGGATTCAGTGACCTCAGAGGTCTTTTCCAACCTTAATGACTCTGTGATGCTGTCTGGATTGAGGCAGGAATGAGAGCTGTTACTCCTGAATCTCTCTCCTGTGTTGTTCAGAGGTGGGAGTAGCTCCACGATTACTGGGAGTTATGTTCAGGCTCATCCTGGGCAGGTCTCCGTATTCCCATGTTCTGTCTGTGAAGGGGGTCACTGGTTCTTGTCTCTCCAAAGGAGCTGTTGTACAATGTGCTGCAGCAGCTGTAGGAAGGCCCCTTGAGAGCCTGAGATGGAGAGAGAGCAGAGGTTATCCGCAGTCATTTGGAGTTTGAAGGATTAATAGCTGTGTTTTGGCTGCTTAGTCTTGAAGCACTAAAAAAGACCAGCCGGGTGTTTATTATATCACCTCTACCTTGCAGCATTAACCCCTGGGTCCCAAAGCTCTTTGCAAACACCCAGCTCAGCTCAAAACTCATCTTTCCCTGTCCTCTGAGTGCAGTCATGAGCCCAAACGCATTTTAAAGCAGCCTCTTTGGTTTGGCTCCCTTAGCTGGTTCCCTGGGTTCCTGTGGACATTGGTTAGGAATGAGAAATCCAGACAGTGCTACAGACCTGCTGCAGTGGTGGGAGCTCATGTTGCCGTCCTTATACCCTCCTGAGGGTGCAGGGGAAGAGGTTTTCTGTAAATATGAAACAGGAGGAACATTCTCAGTTTTTCTTACTTGCAGGTAACTGGGTTTGGTGCTGGCAGTTGGGAGGGAGCCTGTTCTGGCTTGTCAGCTGAGCAGACGATTTTGGGGAGTCAGAGGCAGAGAACACAATGGAGCAGAGAAAGAGAATCCTCTGGCCTGAGTGTTGGCACTTCTGGGATGACTTGGCCATCACTCAGGGTTCCTGGGAGTCCCACAGCTTCACACACAGTGTTTGTGATGGATGCAAGAGCTGTCAGCAAAGCCAGGAGCAGGGTGAGCCAGCCTTCCAGGCTTTAGAACCTTCTTAAATCCATGGCCTTGATCTCTGACACTGGTTCTGTTCTGCTGCTCTCAGAGTTCACAGAAATGCTCTGCAAACCTCAACAGAAGGCAGGTCAAGGTTGTAGTGAACTTGAAGTCAGAAGCATGCCCAGTGAAGGTAGAAGTCCGTTTTGGGGCAGCCCTTTCTGCAGAGGGAAGAAAATGAAATGTTCTCTGAGTTGAATCCCTCTAGACCCAGGTCAGTGGCACGTTATGTGCAAGTGTTGGGTTTTGTGTACCTTTGAGTCTGCAACCCTGAATTCCAATCCAATCTTGGGAACAGTTTGTGGAGTTCTTTGAGGCAGTTTCAGGACAGTTCTTTGGGCAGAAGAACAAGAAGCAGCCCTTGGAAAGAATGCAGAATGAAAGGTGCAAAGTGGATTATATGCAAAAGCAATGTAACCCACTATTCAGCCTCTCTGAAAGAAAATTCAGTAATGGAGAGCTCAAGGAAGTCAGTTCAAGATTGACTTTTCCCAGCTATTCCCAACCTGAGAGCCTCCCTGGCCAGCCATCTTTTCAGTGCTCTGGCTGTTGGGTGTGTGTGAACCAAACCCTATTCCAGCTCATTCCCTCCTCTACCAGGCCTAGGAGAGCAACAGGAATTATAAATAGCTCGGGCTGACTTTGCTCGGCAGTAAAACCAGCAAACAGGAGCCCCAGCACCGCCTGGGCGATGGAGGGAGACACATCTGAGCTGACTGCTGGGAGCATCTGGGACTATTTAGAAGGGTCCTGAAAATCATGACAAACTGGGCTTTTGAGCTGATGGCTGGGGGAGCTGAGGTACAGCATGGAGGGGTGCAGGGTCACCCAGATCTAACAGATCTGAACCCAGATGCTCTCCTGCTGAAAAGCAGCTGTGATACAATTAGGAAATGAAGCTGCTGTGAACAGAAGGTAAAACCAGGTGGGCTGGTTTATGTGTATGAGTTATTAAGGAAATAAGGAAATAAGTTATTAAGGAAATAACTAGTGCCAGCAATGATTAATGAGGGTGGAAAAGAAATCACACAGAATTGTAGAATCATGGAATGGTTTGGGTTGGAAGGGATCTTGAACACCATCCAATTCCATCCCCCTGTCATGGGCAGGGACACCCTCCACTAGACCAGGTTGCTCCAAGCCCTGTCTGACCTGGTCTTGGACACTGCCAGGGATGAGACAACTCAGTTGGGTTTAAAGCTGTTGCATTCTCTTATCCCAAAAGAGCTTGTTTTGGTTTGGATTTCAGGGAGAGAGCTATTTTGGGAGTGTTTCTTTCTATGGCCTGTGGCTGACACTGCATTGGAAAATGCTTGTTACCATTATTTTTTCTTAAGTGCAAGGATTACATCTTAATATAGATCCCATGTTAGGAATGCTTTGTCTCTTGTGTGATCTCACATACCCCCCTCAACTCATCTGGGACTGAGTAACACATTCCTTGGCAGTTCCAGCAGCTGCCTACATGGAAAAAAGTATGGAAGATTTCTGTATTTTTAGTCCTTTTAATGCACTTCAGCAGTTGGGAATTGATTCCTGGGACATGCCAGGTCCTGGTGAGTGGCTCCAGAACAGTCGGCTGGGAGCAGCTGGGCTGCAGGCTGGAGAGGCTTGTTTCCAAAATACTTTGTGCTAGGAGTTATCCAGGAGAATTATGCTGATTCCTGCTGAGCAGGGAGACTCTGGAAGGACTCACCCCTTGGGATGACCTGAGGCAATGGCTGGAGCTGTTTCAGGAGTGGTTTAGATGGATATTAAGGAAAGGTTCTCTCCCAGAGGGTGCTGGCACTGCCCAGGCTGCCCAGGCAATGGGCACAGCCCCAAGGCTGCCGGAGCTCCAGGAGTGTTTGGACAATGCTCTCAGGCACAGGGTGGGATTGTTGGGGGGTCTGTGCAGGGTCGGGGGCTGAACTCCATGATCCTTGTGGATCCCTCCTGACTTGGGATATTCCATGACTTTGAGGAAATGTTTAGCCCAATCCCAGTCCCACAAGCGCTGTGTTGGTGACACAGCTGTACAAAGAAGTCGGCACCTTCTGACCCCGCATGACCTAAAATCAGAGCAATCAGTCAGAACAGCTGGAGAAGTTTTCCTACTGTGATTGCTAACAGACACAATATCCAAGGAAGCTGTTTCACAAGTGAGGGCTGGATGGGATCTGACAAGTGCAAACAGAGCCATAACACCATACATTTTTTGACCTGTTCCAGGTGTGTGTCCCCCTCCCTGCTGCCCTCAAGGCTATTTCCAACTCAGCTGCTGCCCTCCTGGGGTGGTAACAGAGCTGTGAGGGGTCTGCCCCATTGGATGCTTCCCTCTCCACCCTGATCATAGCAGTGCAAGATCCCAGAGTGTTTTGGTGGCATCGTCCATGTGCCAGGGTTGTGTCAGCCCTGGGTGGGAGACAAGCCGTGTCCAGAATAGTGGAGTGGTGCATGGAGTGGGGCAAGGGGGAATTTGGAGGGGCAGGATCTGAACAGAGAACTAGGCTGGAGCTGTGACTGATGTTTCTGAGGAGGTTTCAGAGGATCTCTGGAGACCACACATTCTGCACTGTCCTCAGTCAGGGTATTATATCTTGTCCAAATCTGGGCACAGCCAGAGCTGAGCTGGTGCTCCTGCTCTGAGCTGATGCAGGACAGGGATGGCACACACTCAGTGACTGGGATGATGGACACATCTGGGTTTTCCAGAGCAGGTAACCTTGCTTCAGCTGTAGCCTGGTCTCTGTTTATTGTCTGAAGTGTCATGAAGCTAAGGGTGGGTTTCAAGGGCTGTCCAGTCCCAACTTTTACTTCTGTCCTCTTTCCTTATCACCAGATACAGAGTTACTGTCATCTCTGACAGATGTCTTGACCTCAGTGTTCCCTAGCAACTGTCACTTTCCCCGTTTCTAGTTTAACATAGCCACACAAGACTTTATGAACCTCAGGTGCAGCTGCTTATTTCCACTTTGGTTAAAGTGGAAGATGTTCTCCTGCGTAGATTCTCTCTTCTGCAAAATGTTCCTCTTGGTTTGATAATCTTAAATTCTTCCTCCTCACAGCAGCTTCTTGGTCCCCACTTGGCTTTGGGAAGGGAACTAGAAGTACTTCATAGAGGAGAATCTAATGCTGCCAAAGCGGGGCACCTATGCACTCACAAGGTCCCAGGGAAGGTTGGTTATGCTGTGTTCCTTGAGAAATGGAAAGGAGAGGGCACATGTAATAAGGAGGGAAGTGTGACATGCAGGGGACAAAATGAAACTCAGGAGCTTCTGGGTTGGTTTTCAGCATCCCCACAGTCCCACTGCCTGGCTTTGGGCAAATCCTGTTGCTCTGCACGTTGTTTTTCCGGCTTCCACTGGGTCTGACGCTGGCGCAGAGGCTTTGATATTTGTCCTGTGTAAAAGGTGGAATTTCTCGCTGTTAATGATTACTACTTTGTTGCTTCCAGGGAGGGTCAGCTGTGCTGGGGACTCTGAGCTGGGGACTTGTCCTGTTTGTTTTGGCCCTGTTTCCCAGAGGCATCTTTTTGCTTTTTTCCCCTTGAGCTCCAGATGAAATAGGGATGAGGAAAACATGAGTCCTCTGAGCCCTTGGGAGCTGCACACACCCCTCTGCAGCAGGGCTGTCCCCATTCTCTCTGGGGTGTCTGTGCTTGCAGCAGAGCCGTGTTTTGCCTCTCCCTGCCCAGCTGCCTTGCGGAAGACTCATTCTCTCCATGTTTTTTTGCCTTCCAGGTAGAACCACAGGCCTGCACATTCCCATGCCAGTGTCCCTCCCAGCCTCTGCAGTGCCCTGCGGGTACCAGCCACGTGTGGGATGCCTGTGGCTGCTGCAAGGTGTGTGCCCGGCAGCTGGGCGACCTCTGCTCCTTGCACAGGCCCTGTGACCATCACAAGGGATTCTACTGTGACTTCTCCAAAATCCACAGAGGCAGTGGGATCTGCTTAGGTGAGAGCTGCAGGTTCTGTCCTTGTGTGGTTCATCCATGGTGCCTCCCAGAACACCCATCAGAATCTCCTGAGAGCTTATCCAGTGTCATGCTTCAGACTTCTTCTTACTCCTCCTTCTCCTCCTCTTCCTCCCTCAGCTCATGAGGGTGCAACATGTGACCTGCTGGGCAAGATCTACCTCAACGGGGAGAGCTTCCAGCCCACGTGCAAGCTGCAGTGCATCTGCATGGACGGGGCCATCGGCTGCATCCCGCTCTGCTCCGACGACTTGCGTCTGCCATCCCCAGAGTGCCCCAACCCCCGGAGGGTGAAGTTCCACAACAAGTGCTGTGAGGAGTGGGTGTGTGAGGAGGGCAGTGAGGAGAACCACTTTAGAACAGCCATGGCAGGTCAGTGGGGCACGTGGGATAGGGCTGGGAGCTGTTTACTGGGAAAGAGGGGTGGATTTGGGGCACCAGCTGATTTGGGGCTGGTGGTGGCTTTTTGCATCATCATGGTGGGGGTGGGCACCAAGTGTTGGGTTACAGAGCTAAACACCAGGTCCAGCCCACCCAGCTTCTCTATCACTCCCCTTCTCAGCTGGACAAGGGGGAGAAAATAAATGGAAAGGGACTTGTAGGTTGAGATAAGGCAGTTTACTAAAGCAAAAATGAAAGTTTGCATGTGCACAAGCGAAGAAAAAAAATTGACTTATTCTTTACTCCCCATCATCAAGTGGTGTCCAGCCACTTCTGGGGAAGCAGGGCTTCAGCACATGAAGCAGTTGTGCCAGAAGGCAAACATTGAAAATAGTGAATTCCCCCCTCCCGCCCTTCCTCCTCCTTCCCTTAGCTTTTATATCTGAGCTGACATCATACAGTTTGGAATATCCCTTTGGTGAATTTGGGTCAGCTGTCTTGGCTTTGTCCACTCCCCGAGTCTTGCCCACTCCCAGCCCCTTGATCAGGGGGGAATGTTGGAGAGACATCACTAATGCTGTGCCAGCCCTGCCCAGCAGTAGCCACTGGTGGGTAACACTGGTGTGTTACCAACACCTTTCCAGCTCCCACTGCAGAGGACAGGACTGGAATGGCTGCTCTGGGAACATCAACTCCAGCTCAGGCAGACCCTATACAAAGTGAAACCTCAGTGGTGCTATGGGAAGGCTCCTGTGTCCTGAAGTGTCACAGCAGACCTGGCTGGAGCTGTGTAGGAAATGGCCCCTGCTCACCAGCATCCCCTTCCTGCTGAGAGGCCAATCTCATGGGATGGACCAGACCTTTGCTGCTGTTCCTGAGGTGTTAAACTGAGTTGGTAGCAGCTGTGGAGCTGCTGATTTTTGTGAAAAGCCCCTGAGCCTTGCCTTGTGTGTCTTCCTCATGGCTCAGTTTTCAGGGAGGATCCAGCTCACAAGCCAGAGCTGAACAACCTGCAGGAGAACTGCCTGGTGCAGACCACGGAGTGGAGCACGTGCTCCCGGAGCTGTGGAATGGGTATCTCTGCCCGCGTCACCAATGACAACCCCCAGTGTCGCCTGGAGAAGGAGACCCGGCTCTGCATGGTCCGGCCCTGCAACTTCTCCATGGAGAAAATCAAGGTATGGTGCCGGAGGAGAGGGGACACGGCACCCCAAATGCTGGGGACAGCCTTGGGAATGATCCCGGCTCACAGGATTTGCTCTGTGCTTCCATTTCCTCTGTGTCCCATTGCCCAGCGATGGGGTCAGAGCACAGGCCTCAGTGCACCTTTCCTGTCACGTCCATGTTAATCCACCTGCTCTCTCCCTAGAAGGGGAAGAAGTGTGTGCGGACCCCAAAGCAGCGCCAGAGCTTCCACTTTGAGTTTTCGGGATGCACCAGCACCCGCTCCTACCGGCCCTGGTTCTGCGGCAGCTGCTCGGACGGGCGCTGCTGCACCCCGTTCCTGACCAGCACCAAGGACGTGGAGTTCCGCTGCCCTGAGGGAGACTTCTTCCAGAGGAAGATGATGTTCATCAAGATGTGTTCCTGCCACTACGACTGCCCTCGAGACAATGACATCTTCCTGGCCACGTACCATCGTCGGATGATCGGAGACCACGTCAAGACTGAGCAGCAATAGCCCTGTCTTGCCAGGTCTGAGGTGTGCAGGAGGGCTCTGCAGTGCTTTTGTGGCTGTGTCCCGGGCCAGTGCAGCCTCTCCCCCTGAGCCTTCCACAGCAGCACCGTTCCAACACCAGTGGTCCCTGCGGTTTTCCCAACGAGCTGAGGGGGAAGAGCCCCAGCTGCCCCAGCCCCCTGACCCCCACCCACAGTGGTGCGAAGGTCAGCGAAGGAACCAGAAGCAAGCTTGAGCTGCAAACTTGATCTGTGTTCCCCCCTGGCCAGAAGGGAGAGTGGAAAAGTCATGTGGCTCCTGCCTGCCTCCTGCCCACAGCACAATTCCTGATTCTGACCCCAAAAGTTCTTCTAGCATGAACTGGGGGTGGACCAGGCTGCCAGACCAAAATGTGTCCCCTGCACATGCTGCTCTGGGCAGCTTTTAGTGCCTTGATGAGCATTTCATAGAACCGTGGAGTAGTTTTGGTTGAAAGGCACTTTAAAGCTCATCTCATTTCAACCCCCTGCAATGGATGGGGACACCTTCCACTAGCCCAGGCTGCTCCAAGCCCCATCCAACCTGGCCTTGGACACTTCCAGGGATGGGGCAGCCACAGCGTCTGGGCAACTTGTACCAGGGTCTCACCACCCTCACAGGGAGGAATTTCTTCCTAATCTTGTCAGAAATGGCTCTGGGGTGGGAGAGGGCTCACACATGCACAGTGAGGCTGCAGCTGTTTCAGCTCTGGATGTTTGTAAGTAGGAGGAACACTGTTCAGCTCCAGTCTCCCTGGAGAGTTTAAGGTACTGGCAAGAGAAATTCTCATATTTGTAAATGGAGCAGATCCCATCTGGAGTTACTGGGGCAGTGCCACAGGGAGCTGTCGGCACTGGTGTCCCCAGGGGTGGGATTCCCTCCTGGCCACACACCTGGCAGAGTCTCTGTGCCATTAAGGGTCCCATTGCCAGCCCATAGCTCCAGGAAAGGCCATCAGCAGCCAGTGCCAGTGGTATGTCCAGCAGCACCTTGGCAGCTCAGTGGGACTGCTAAGGTCTTGTCTAGTGTGGAAAAATCTTCTGATTTTTAGTAGAAACATCCAGGTACAGGACCTGATCCTGTTCCTTAAATCATCCCTGCCTATCACCACTGGAAATAGTGAAAAATTCCTGTTCCAGACAGGCAGGAGCAACAGCCCCAAGGCTTCACCTCACCACATTTTCCTACCCCAAATTAGAACCTGTTGACAAGGGACAGTCCCAGCTGTCCCCAGCTGCTGCCCTGAACTTCCAGACTGCTGACACACCAGCTCAGGGCCCATGTCCCATGCCAGCATCTGCTCCTTCTCTTAGCCTGCTGCAGCTTCTGAGCCTTCACTCTCCTGTAATCAATTTGAACTGTAAATAATTTATCAGATGTTGTTTCTGGTTTTAAGGCCTTTGTACAGTCCCAGGACCTTGTTGGCACAGCCCTGCTCAGGCTGTTTCCCCTCTCTGAGCTTCTCTCCTGCCATTCATACAGCTGCTGAGCCTCAAACCATGCTGAGGTTGTACTTTACTCAATGCTAATAAATATCTCTTTATTTTTTATATCCCTGAACTCATCCCTTTGTGTGAGGCTCCTGCCTGGTTCCACCTCTGACCTTTCCCCAGTGCTGGGACCCTCTAGAGAGTTGATGGCTGGGTGCTGGAAGTTGGGGGGGTGACAGGGCATTCTTTTCCCATTCCCAATAGCAGCAGGATTGATGTTAGTGTTTCACAGGCACCTCTGCAGCCCACAAAACACAGCTCTTCCCTCCATGGCTTGGAGGGGGAACAAGCAGAGCCCCCCTCTGCCTGCTGAAGGACCCACAAGTCCTTAATACCAGATTAAAAATAGCCCTGGGAGCAGATGTGAGCAGAAGTTGGTGATAACAGGGCCAGAACACGAGGGGCTTTGCAGTGGCTTAACAGCTTACGGATTCATCCCCCTCTCATCACATTAGCCAGGGACTCCCCCCTCTCGCACTCCTGCACCGCGGCACGGCCTAGAGGTTCTTCCTGCTCCCAAAACTTCATCCTCACTGGGGAAGGCTCAGGGCTTCCAGCGAGGGGCGGGTGAGGGGGAACAAACCCCTGTCACACCTGAGCTGCGTGGTGTTGAGGTTCTGAGCTCGGGGCAGGATCTGGGGGCTGCAATGGCCCTGGGAGAGACAGCAGGGGACATACGGTGACGGTCCTCGCCAGTGTCCCCAGGGCGGTGACCATTAGGTGGCACCAGGAGCCTCCCCATGGGGACACCCCAGCCCCAGGGCAGGGTACGGGGGCGTGCGGGGCCCCAGGGGTGCTGTGGGGACCCGGTTCCTGAGCGTGACCCGGGGTAGCACCCGCCTACTGCAGCCCAGAGCCAGCAGCCAGTGCCACCGCGGGGCCACCACCGCCAGGCCAGCGGAGACGAAAGCGAATTCCATCCTGCCGCCAGCTGCACCCCCGTCCTCGCGGGGCCCTATTCCCGCTTATCTCCGCGGCCGCCGCCTGCGCGGCACCGATAACACGGGCGTGGCCCCAGGGATGGGGTCGGGTTTGGGGGCACTTCAGTGACCCTGCCGCCCTTACCGGCCCCGGCCTCCTGCGGTGGGCTCAGGACGGGGACACCCCCAGCTCCTCCAGCCGCCAACAGGGACGGGGTTTTCCCTAAGAAAACTTCGGAAAATAGTGAAAATAAGCAAAAAAAAAAATCTACAAAAGCCCTGATTCTGCCGGTTTCGGGGCTCTGCCTTGGCGCGGGGGGAACCCGTTGGGCACCTTCTCCTTATACGGGCCTATGATGTCACGGGGGCTGGGAGGAATCTCCTGGCTCCGCCCCCGCCCGTCACCTGTGGGCTCCGCCCACTGCAGCGGCGCGCGCTGGCCCCGCCCCCTCCGCGCGCTGGCGGGCGGGGGCGGCAG